AAAAAAAAAAAAAAAAAAACAAAAAACAAAACCTAAACCAGGTTCCAACGCAGTCTTTTAGTCTTTACTCGTGAGCATTAGGCCACTTACGGCGGGTTTAATAGGGTATCTATATTGGGAAGTTTGCGAGAATTTATTTTCTCACAACATCTCCGATTCTTTAGAAATTCCTTTCTAATTTTCAAGAAAAAGTGTTTTAACTGTCCATACGGTAAAACAATAATTTTTTATATTTTTCTCATTTTAGTCCTTAAGAAGCGTTAAGAATTAACCAAATGCCGAAAAGGAACACTAATCATTTCGGCATTCCTTTTCGGCCTCTCTGTAGAAAACATCAGCAATCTGATCCACATGCAAGATCTGTCACTGTGGCAAATCATGATCAAGGTCTCTATATGATTTGAAGATTCCACTCTGTTTTATGGTGATCAGCAAAGTTGGTGGTGTCCCTCATTTGGCAGTTTTACACGATGTATCCCCAACCTCCAAGCAAAAACCAAAGGTTGTAGCTTTCTCACATCAATGCCCATATGTAACTGACGGTCTTTACATTTCTATCGTATGAGACATTACACATGTCCAATGACCCAAAAATGACAAAACAAGGAAAAACCCAAACTTTGGTCCAGTTGAAGGAAAGTGGACCAAAAAATGTATTTACAATTAGCACCGTGAGTATTTTGAGGCAGCATTGCCTGTTTCATGTATTCTAGGCACCAAGTTGCTTAGTTCATGGGTTTATTTCCATGGTATTAAACTGTTGATTTCGGAGGTTTAAATTCTAATACTCTCATACATAATTTAGTAAATGTTACATATACAAGGATTAAGTATATACTTGCGAAAAATGATTTACTTTTAACTTTTTTTGATTATTGAATAGTGAACAATATAATACGGAACAAACAAACTTATAAATAGAATTAATTTGAGGTATTTGCAAACAAAAAAAATATTCCAATAACATATAAAAATAAAGGACAGATGTTCATTAGTTAGATTAAATTATGAAAAAAAAAAAAATTTAAAATTACTATTAAAAAAATAAAAATAAATTATTATCTAAATTTATTAAAATAATATAATTTTAAATATATATTTTTTTAATTTTTTAAAAATTTAATTAATAAATACTAATTTTTAAAATTAATTTAGCAGCCCAATATAATTTTTTAAGAATTTAGTTTTTCAAGACAATTGCCTTTTATTTAAATTGATGGATTACTTCATGAAAAGAGGTGAAGAGTGTGGAACCTTTGAATATTTGAATGATGTAAAGTTTCTCAATTATTGAAAAGGGTTTTTCCTCGAAGAAAGATACGCCCTCCATTATTGACCAATCTTATTATGAATGATTTACGGCCACTTATTACAAATTAATCAATGTTTGGCTCCACACCTCTCTGTTTTACATGTACCTTGAATAAATTCACATTGTACTTATTGTACCCTTTAAATTTGCAAAGTTTAAAATTCCTGAATATAAAGAAAATTTCTAGAAAATTTTGAATTCTCGCTTTTCTTTTATAGAAAATAAAAATTATATTAAATAAAAGAGATTATAACTAAACCTACATTTAGGGCACTATAACATAAGTAAAATTAGAATTATAACTTATATTACTAATAATAAATTTAAATTATATTCATAACGAATATAGATAATTAAGTAAAAAAAACCCTTTGTGCCTAGAGATTGCAATGACAACTATTAATGGGCATAAATAGGTCTACTAATGTAGAAAAGAAAATCATTATGAGCTTCTATACTACTAGACTTTCTCATCAATTTAGCCAACTCCATGGGGAGAGTAGGGAATCTTGACATCAACAATCCCCATCTTGCTAGATGCTATCCTTAAGCACTATAGTTATTAACCTATAAGAGGGTCATGATCTTTAGTCGATTGAGCTAAAGCCACCCTTGTATTGTCAACGAGCAACTTAAAAGCTCACTCACCTTCCATTAATTCAATACAAATCTTCTTTTTATTTTGAATGGTTTTTCCCATGGATAATGTAAAGTTCACTCCTCATCTTATTCTTTTCCATTTGCCTTTGCTTCTATTAGCAACTCTTTCTTGCCCATTTAGCTTCCTTATGCCACTAAATACATGGGACAAAGGCACATCTATTAATTGTTCATCAACTAGGCACAGTAAAGCAATAGGGAGCTATTCTATTGCATCACCAAGCACCCCATTATTTGTGTCATCATCTCTATTGTCCCCCTTAATTTGGTTTGCACAATTGGGTTAAAGATTATCTGATTGTAAATCTTCATGTTGCACTGTCACCCTCATCCTTGTTTCCAGCTAAAGATTGGGTATTAACGAAGAAATTCTCATCTAAAGCATTAAAATCATCAGGGCATCATGACTTTTCCAATTTAGCTTTTAACCAAGAACCAAACCATTATACAATCTTACCCCTACCACTTTAATACAATGTGTAATTTCACAATCATTTTCAAAATGACCCAAGCAACCATAGATAAAACAAAACTCTGGAAGTCTTTTGTATTTGATCCTCAGTTTCTTACTTTCAATAGTAGAAATCTGAGAAGTTTTAAATCTTTTCAATGACTTATCTACCTCCAAATTAGTTCTAACTCGAATTGCCTTGCGAAATCCTTCATCCATTGTCGAGACCTTTCCTAATAAACTTCTGATCATATATCCAATGCTATGAGTGCATACCAATAAGAACATCAAATATTCTAATCCAAAATGGATTTGTAGAAAAGTCATACTGTTTTCTAGTTAGAAAAGCTTGAAACTTGTTGAGAATAAGTAGAGAGTTGCTAAAATTCCAAGGCCCCTTATGCAAAGCTTTGTTGACATCTCCCATATCAGAGAATTGAAATAGGTAAATCTTTTCTCCAATCTTGAAAATTTTAAAAGCCTTTTTAGGTCTCCATGAAACCATTAGAGCATTATAGAGACCATTGAGATTGATCCTCCTTTAGGAAAGCAATTTCCTAACCACATGAAATTTTCATACAATAGTATTTGCTTGATTCTAAACTGTATATAGTGGGAGGATGCCACTCTTACCTCTTGTTATGCGAACTCGGCTTAGCAAAAAGCCTAGGTCTTCATTCATTGTCGTTGTAAGGGTGTTGCACCTCAAGAAAAATCACAATCGAGATGCATTGTTATAATAGAAGTAGGAGACACAAACAGTAAGACAAAACTATCAAAAGACCAATTTTATGCCACTACTTGGGATTGCCTATGGTTAGGGCTCACCAAGGCAAGTCGGCAAGTGTAGTTTTGCTAGAGCTAAGGTCCCTGAGAGTAGAAAGGGAAGGAGGAGACTCCTCAAATCAAAGAGATAACCAAGGAGGTGCCCAACACCTCAAAAACCCTAAACTTAAAAGTTTGGGACACTAGAGTTTGCCTATGTTACAAAGACTCAGATTTTTGAAGTTCTTGCTTTTAAATGTGCACTGTCGCATATCTATAAGCCATATGCCCTTGTAGATTTATGGTAATTTTTGAAAGTATATGTAGACACAAAAGTAGAAAAAAAAAATTCAACTATTGGATCATATTGTAAGCTAAGATTAGACTAGATTCACATGTCGTTGCCCACACCAAATCAAAATCCACAAGCAAGAATTGTGGCAAAATTATAGGATGTTGTATCCTATTAAAATAAAATAAATTAAGACACATGATCAAATAAAATGATAACACATGTTTTATTTAAATTAAATGTAATTAGGACACATGGTAAAATCATATGACCTAATTAAAATATGTTGGAATATTCTTTCAAAGATGCCTCATTTATTTGCCTATAACTAGAGGCATTCACTATAAAGAGAGGGGACCCAAATTTTGGAGAGAACATAACCACTCTATTGCAATTGCTTCTCAAATCTCGTGAAAGCCTTCAAATCTTCAATTTCTTCACAAACTTTCCTCTCATCTAGATCAAGCTTCATTCAAGCCGTCATCGAGATCTACATCAATTAAGAGAGGAGACTCCAACTCTAAAGAGAAGCACAAGCACTCTATTGCAATTGCATCTCAAATCTTGTGGAAGCCTTCAAACCTTTGGGTTCTTCTCAAACTTTTCTCTCATTGAGATGAAACTTCACTCAACCCCTTGGCAAGATCTACATCAATTAGGAGATTGAATGAAACGATTACTTTAAATCCTTTATTCACTAGGAGGTTATACTCACAAATCTTAAATTAATACAAATATTCTTTTTGTGTAATTTTTCTTGTCAATCTGATTTTTAAGAACAAAATTATTGTCCATAAATTTCTTAATTATGATATTAAAAATCAGATGGATAATAAAAATTGTGCAAAAAAATATTTATATTAATTTAAGATTTGTGAGTACAACCTTTGAGTAAACAAAGAAGCTTGATCTTCAAATTCTTCACAAACTTTCCCCTCGTCTAGATCAAGTTTCATTCAAGTCCTCATTGAGATCTACGTCAATTAGGAGAGGAGACTCCAACTCCGAAGAGAAGCACAAGCACTCTACTGCAA